TGTTGTTGTCGGGGTGCTTTATGATTGCTTGACGGCGCCACAGTCGGCGTGAGAAAGGGGGTGTTGGGTGCGCAAAAAAATATCAAAGTTGCCATTAAAAATATGCTCAAGACTTGTTTATGTCGCCATAGACGGACACACTCTTTTCTTGTCCAGACAAAGTACAATGGGTTTAACGTTTGTTGGGTAAAAGGGTTAAGTAGCAATCTGGAAATATTATGTGGAATGTGCTGTTATATTTTCAATCAGAATTGTAAACTAAATGTTTGTTGGGATATGCAAAACCAAAATGCATTCAGGTAGCGGATAATCTTCATGCCTTTCGTCCTCTCTCCCTCGCTCAGCTTAAAACTCTGCGTAAGCTGCGCAGCGGCAGCGAAGCGTAGTTCGATCGCCCTCTTCGGCAGTCGTTGCCAACTAAAGCGCGCTCTCTCTCTGCAACTGCGCTGCCTAAGCTCTGCTCTGCATTGCATTGCAGCACAACACAAACAAAGTCCCACGAGAGATGAGCCGAAAGCGCGTCGCAGTCTTCGTCAACTTTGTCAAATAGCAATAGCATCGGAAAGTCACAATAGGCTGCAGCTTCGTCTTAAGCTCAAGCAAAGAACTCCCTCAAGATATTCTCGTGCTTGCTTTGCCTTGCGGTTTTAGTTGCTTTCCAGGGAAATACCCAAAAAACAACGGCAGTGAAACTTTTGCTCCTCCCAAGGAGAGTATCAAAGTTTCGCCTTGGTTCATTATGAAAATTTGCATTCCTTTTGTTTATGCTCGCGTTTCAGTCTATGGTTTTGCTGTTGTTTGTTTTTATTTGTTGCCTGCTCCTATTTTTTAATGGCATTCTCGAGCACTTTAAAGTTTTTGATGGGCTCCCAGCGCCTGGGCTGCCATGGCTCAACCGAGCAATTCATTAGGCTCAATTGCCTCGTGTTGCAGTTTCTGCTTGTTACCCCGCTGTTCTTTTGTTCGTTTTTGGCCTAGTTTGGGCCAACCATAATGAAATGAATTATGTTTATACATGGCAAACACTTGGCACTCAGCGGGTAATCATGCTGGGGGAGAAACATAAAGGGAGGGAGAGTGGTTCCTTGCTGGATTAGCAAGGAAATGCTGTTGATGGACATTGTTGAGCACTGGCTGTGTGTTTTGTGCACAACTGACGAGTAAAATCGCTTAATTAACTTAATCAAAATATAGCCATAATGATGGGTATCCTGCATGGCCTGGCATGTCCTTTATGTTCTCCATTGTTTGTTCAATAAATAAATACATGCAATTGTGTCTGTGTATTTATTCGTTCGTGTGTGTTCGTGTATCTTTTATTTGTATTATGACAGCCGTTCAATTGATGCAGAAATTAATTAAAATTTTCCCTCTCCTGCGTGCGTGTGTGTCCTGGATTGTGTCTGTTTTCGTGTGCTCTGTAATGGGACTATCTATCTGAACGAGTTGTCCTTTGGCCTAAGGCTAAGATAAATTACATTTTGGCCAAAGCCAGGAGAACACACGTTACGAATGGACTGAAAGCTGGCTGGTAATTGCTTTGCATTCAATTTGAGTGTGGGTCTACAGTGTGCAGTGCTTACAGTAAACAATTTGGAAATATATTTCGAATTTATATAAATGTTTATGGGTTGCTGTAACCCTCTTTAGCGACCCACAAATTGCTTTTAATTTTCGCTCAAATTTCTTGCAATTTTCTGGGCATTCCTTGGCACATCCCTGCCTTTACCTTTTAGTCAATTATGACTGTATTGTGTTTTATTCATCAAATGGAAATATTTGAAACCCTTTACACTCAATTTTCGAAATATTTTCACATCTAATAGACTCCAAAAATTAATTCCGTATTACTTTATTATGCCCAACGTTGCCCCTTTGCCCTTTTTGGCAGAAGAGAGAGAGAATAATTTCTTGGGCTTTTTCAATTAACTTGCGGCTGGGCAAATAATACCTGCTGCCAGAAATTCCCCAGACAGCACCCCGGAGTAAGTCTTAAAGGCAAACTCTGACCCGTTTTTTCTCATCTTTCTTTTAAGCAAAAATTTAATGCCAGGGAAAACCCTTCCTGCCTTATAGATATGGAAAGTTCTTGCTGTCTGCCATTGATACCGGAGGGCAGAGAACTTGAGACATGGCACATGGGTATGGGTATATGGGGAATATTTTGTGGCACTTATCAAAGGCAGCAACAATTTAGGTTAAATACTCATTAATATTCCGGTCTGCAAAAGTTTTTTCCTCCCTCTCTCTCTCTCTGTCGCTCTTTCTTGCTATCTCGGTGCTCTGTGTTTTTGGCAAATAAATTTATGCCCTTTGCTTTTGGCCGCCGCCAGGCACGAGACCGAGACCGAGACCAAGCCGCACACAAGACACAAGAGTTGCTTCGGCTCTGTCCTTCCGTTGCCAAATAAATAAGCACACGCACATGCCAAAACACACACACAGATGCATACACATTGTACATATGTATTTGTATGTACCTTCAGAAATTAATTTTGGGTAGCCTACATTTTGGGACAGCCTAGAAGTGAGCGAAACAACCAAAAACTCGCATTTTCCCACTGAAAATGATAATTGCCCTGGCAACGGGCGAGAGTCTAACAAAAAATGAATAATTTATAAATGAAGCAAATTGTTGTCAAAGTTGATACAGTGACAGAGTATGGGTTACAATTAGGTGGGAGTAACGTTTGTATAAATATCATATAATGTGAGGGGCAAGTGATGCAACATATATTTAGGCACAAGATGTAGGAGAATATTTGAGAATACTCTGTCTCTCTTCTGCTCATACATTCACCATGAGGCTGTTCTCAGTGTCTTAAGTTCTGCTACCTGCGTGTTTTGTGTTTCACTTTCTTGCTTGATTTACCGTTGCTTCACTCATTTGCCTATTCCATTGCTGCACATGAGTGCGAGAGCTTGTGCGAGAGCGTGCAGAGCTCAGAGAGGATCAACGATGGGAGTTAAAGAGAGCGAGCGTGTGTAGCTATGAGCGTGCGTTAGAAGGAGTGAGAGACAAAAGGTAACTGCGTCGCAGCTAGCGATTGTCTTTGCGTTGTGCTTTTGCCATGCGTTGAGTGCAGTTGCTTTTTGGGAGAGTTGATCCCAGTGCGCTGCAGCGGCATAATTCACTGTTATATGTATGTACGTGTCGCAGTGGACAGAGAAACGGAGTTATACTGGCTGGACATGAAAGTTCCAAGTCAGCGAAATGTTTTATTTTCTTTGTGTTTTCATAGCTACATAAATTAAAGTTAATTTAACAAGAGTTACACATAAGTTTTATCTCTGCCCCAAGCGCTCATTTAATGTAGGTTTACATGAAGTAAAACATAAGGAAATTGTGCCAACTGGGCTCCACTTTTCATTTGCACAACCGGGCGCAAAAGTTGGCCAAAAACTATTTAATTTGTTTTTATTGGATGCACCGCCACAGCGCACACACAGGCACACATACAGGCACGCGGCGTACCCACTAAAATGCCATATGTACATATGTAGATATTTATCCCCCCCCCCCCTTTTTTTTGCACGAAATTTATTGCATACTTGGGAAAGCTTCTGATGGAGCAGCAGCATCGAGGGAGCGACACGCGTGTTGTCGGGATTTATTTATTTACTCCTCCACATCCTTCATCCTCTTTGGCATTGGCGGATTTTGTGCGATGATAAAAATTGTGACATGCCAAACGAGGCGCCCAGTCCGCAGGGGAGTGGAGTGGAGCGGGGAGGGGAGGGATAATGGTTATACCGTTCGAGGATGTAACAACAAAATGACAGGATATTATTCAATTGAATTCGTTTACATGCATGAACTACATAATAAAAATGCCCTTAACCAAAAAACGGCAACGAAGAGAAGCGCGAAGCGCCACAGAGAGCGCCCAAAAAGGAAAGCAAATTGAACAGCAGCAGCACAAATGGATGTACGCCAGTTACATACATAATATGTATACATAACTACATACATATTTGCATACACATTCATTTGTAAAGAAATATTTGTACGTTTCTTTTGTATCATTTATGTGGCTGGTTTGCTGCTGTTTTTCTTCCCTTTTTGTGGGCCAACATTTACATATTCATTTCCATCATGGGGCAGGCCCAGGCTCCCGTCTCCCTGCTCCCTTATTAAATGCGCATATTTTATGCAACAAAGGGAATACACACACACACAGACCCATGACTCACACTCGCATTCAGATACTCCTTTCCATTAGTTAGCTGCTTGCCCGCGGGCGCATTTTCTTTGCCAAACATTTTCCACTCATTTTGGCAAGTTGCGGAAATGGCAAACTTTTCACATACGAATTTTCCCTCGATGTTGATGGCAACAACTTAATGCCGAGATAAGCAAGAGTTATGAATTATTGTGCGGGGGGGGAAGGGAGGGATAAAAGTTTTCCGTTTGCAGGAAGCAATCAATGCGCTAAATGAAATGGGATTTATGCTCTGCCTCTCTCTCTGTCTTTATGGATGGCAAATTGAGCTGGAAATATGTTAATCTGTGTCTGGCAAACTTAGGCTGTGACTTAACTGGTGGATAACTACATTTGGGTAAGCGTTTCCACTTTTGCTCATACAAAAGTTAGGAGCTAAGAGCCTCTCAAATTTGAGGCGCTTTCCTTTTGTTTCCATTGCAAAAAATGATTAAAAATTTAAAGAATATTTTCGCATGCCCCACAATGTCTTCCACCATTCAAATTCCACTTCTGTTCCACCTGCAGCCTCACCATTCAACCAAAAACAAATCGATGAAACACCTTTCGGCACTGCCAAACATCTGTCAGAGAAGCAACTGCAATCCCTGCCCAAAATGAAACTCATTAAGATGGAAAACCCACACAAATATCTCTGCATTCAAACATTCAGTAAACAGAAGTCAAAAGCACACACTTTGCTGCTCTATGGCATACATTTTTGTTGTGCAAGTGAAGTGCACTTGGCAGCTCAAACAGCCAGGATCGGGCATGGCACCTCCCTTAGCGTGCACTTACCTTGGGCATGGGTCCACTTGAGCAGAAAAACGATGAATACGAAACGTAAATCCATTTTACAAGTACAATTTCTATTTCTATTTATATTTCTCTTCTTTCCTTTCTTTTTTAGAGTATTTCGCCTCGAGATGAACTTGGCTAAAGAAGCGTTTGCCGTTGCATTTATTTGCCCCGAACCGCACACGCAGGAGCACACATACAGAGGACCTGCCGCAGGACTCCCTCTGGGGCTGGGATTTGTTTGATTCTTTATTCGGTTTCCTTTCTCCTCTGTTCACTGGCACACAACATTCTCTCGTGACATTTCCGTGAGTTTACATTTTATTGTGCGGCTTAAGTCGCGGCTTCCGCTTCCGTTTGGCCAGTGAGCACTTGGCCACAGTTTGCTTGCCCCACTTGCCCCATTATCAGCGGCACAAATTAGCATTAAATACCAACGAGAGTCAACTGCGGATAGGAGGCATGCCACTTCGTTTGTTTATGTTTGCCGCTGCCAATTGCCGACGATGTTGGCCCAATCGCTAAGAGCCCGAAACGCGCTGTCTGGAACGACCCGTAAACCGTTGGCGCCAGTAACCAAAACTCAACTGAAGACAGCCCAAAGGACGTGACTGTGGCGCCCCAACACACGGAGTACCCAGAACCGAGCAGCCCGTCGCACGCTCCACAGTTATGTTTCGCGTTAGGGTGGTGAATTTTCCAAGCTTCGTGTGTGCTGCCCGCTCCGAGCTCGTGTGCGGCGAGAGCTTCGTTTTTCGGAGTAAATTCCAGCAGGGTAAACAGCTGTTCTAGCGGTGTTCTAGGTGTGGGTAGAGAGGGGGCTGTGAAGTAATACTGATAAGATTGTGTGCATAGAGGAGAGATAATTGTGGGAAGCTCGGAACAAATATTTAAAAATATAGCAAAAATTGTATTTTGTAGAATTTATTTCGAGCCTGCGAAGAATATAAAAAAATGTATTTTTCCTTCCTTTTTGATGCTTTTTAACAGTTTCCCCTTCCTGCTGGCTCCTTTCTTCCTCTCTGCTCCCAGCCACGTTTTGTTTATTATCAATTTTGGCATCATAAACATTTGTTGCTGAATTCTGCCGGCTAAATTGTTGAGTCTGCGCGTGGCACACTTTCGGAGTTCGCACCGGAAATTCCTTCGCTCTTTTGGGACTCTGCTTACAAGCGAGAGCAATGCTGAAGGAAGAGCGCGAGAGAGTGCGAATCTAAAAGTAGCGAGTAAAATTTGAATTAGGCTAAATAACCGTTAGATTCCGATGTAGGAAAGTTCTGTGGGTGAAGCAAAATTCGAAGGAATTTGAGACGCGGAGACAATTGCAGGGATAAGGCACAAGCAGAGGAGCGCTGTTGCATGACGCGTAACTTGTGCAAGCCCTTAGCTGATCTTTTCAGTAATATTTCGCAGTAGTTCCAGTGGTTTCCATCTCATATGTACACTCTATGTAGCCACTTCAACCGCTCAATACCTTAGCCTCCCGTCAATCTTTGAGCCCGTTAAGGACGCCTCCTGCTAACCCGCATTCGTGGGCAATTTGATGTATCGAAACTCGTCTGCGCATTGGCATAGTTAATTAGAAACTGACGTAGTTCACGTGCTGCCGTTTGCATTCACCGCAATCAAAATTAGCTCAGTGGCTTGTGGTGCGGTGCCGGCGCGGGCGCCACTCAATATTGTAGAGAGAAGCACACCCTGCTCCACCCTGCTCCTTGCCTTTTCTTGATCGCATAAACAACAATTAAAACGTTACAAATTGCACATACAAACGGGCTACAAGGATAGGGGAAAGTACAGTGCAACCTCCGTCACTTATTAGACGGTCTCTCTCTTTCACTCTCTTTGCTCCTTGGGTTCCTTTCTTCAATTATTTCCGATTATTACCAGAGCAAGGCAGGAGGGAGCTCTCCCTCAAAATCCATGTTAATTGCTATTTTGCTCCCATTTGGCTTTAAAGAAAATCCTTAACAACCTGGGGGTCAGATTTTCTCTGATTTTGCATGCACTCTACAGTCGAGGGCAAACTACTCCTGGGGAATATCCTTGTTGCTGTTCTAATATACTTTTCCTTTTGCTTTTACCTCCAGGAGGGAGAGGCCATGGAGAGCTCAGAGAAAAGGCAAACTGACAGAGCATAAAGAGAGACAGAAAGACAGAGCGAGAGTGTGAGTGAGTGAGAGGCGCAGATTGTGTGGGAGTTGGAGCAAAATTACTGTGACGACCCAGTAAAGTAAGTTCCGAAGATAAACTGCAATCGAAGGACGTTGACTGAATGATAAATTACACTTGACAATGCCGCTGCGCCACCCCACACACAGCCATGAGATGTGTGTCTGCCTTGGAGTGTCCTTCCTGTCGAGGATTTCTTTCTATTTTTTTTGTTCTTGCCTTGCCCCTGCTGTTTCTGTTGCCTTTTCTTTTCGCTCGTTTGTCATAAGTTTACTTTTAATATAAAAGTTTTCTCGCTTTGGCCATGTTGAAAAGTGATCATCATGATAATTACACGGCCGGAGCTAAGCCACAGTGGGAGAGAAAATGAACGTTCGTGTTATTTGAAGAGAAATTATGGATTTTTGAATCTTTCTGGTTTATTGTATAACAACATTAATTATTTTTACCAATTTCTTGTATATTTTCCTACACTTTATTTGCATTAAAATTAACTTGGAACTGAATTAATGTGCCAAAAATGTTAAAAAAAAAAACTGCAATTTATTTTGTTTTGTTCCTCCTCTAACCACTGTAGCTTCAAGCTGCGTCCATCAAGCAGGGGACCACCTCCCTGAAGATTTATGTGCTCATGTGGTCAGAGATAAGGGACAGGCGGCGGACACCAGAACCAGAGATAGCGCCCAGCCCCTGCTCCCCACTCAGTTTCTTGAGTGCCAGGGCCACGAGAGTGTGTTTGTCAGCTGTGCGGATGGGGGAGCAGCAAAGGCGGATGCGGTGCGAGGGTGCGAGCTGAGTGGGTGGGGTAATTATGATGGTTGTTGCTGATGCTGCTGCTGCTGTTGCTGCTCTTCGGTGGGTGGCTGGAGTGCGGCAGCTGCTGCGCCGCTACCCACTGACACGTCTAAAGAAGCGGTAGCCCAGTTTCACTCATTAAGGATATCCGTGCAGGAAAACAATGCCAAACACTCACACCAATGCCAAGGCACACACACACAGCACAGCAAACCGTTACAGTAAAACCACAGAGCGAGACAAACGCACACACACACACAGCATCCCTCTCCCTCTCCCTCTCACGTAATGCATTTAGTGGCTGCGGTTTTTGAGCTCTCTCAAGCTCCTCGAGTTCTCATTGTTTGCTCTTTGGCCTCTCCCCTGCCCACCACGCCGCAGACGAAACAATACAAATTTATTTTTGTGCCACGCCCCCGCTCGACACAGACGGAAGCGCAAGGCTGAAAAGAGATGGCGCTGACTCCTTTCATGGCACAAGTCGACGCGATGCGACGGCCCAGAACTTGAGCAGTACGCAGGAAGTTCCGGATAAAGCCCCAGTCCCGTTCTTCTAAAAACTTTGCCCGGAATTATTTCAAAAAGTTCTGGGTTTGGGTTTTGAGGGCGTGACTGGTTGTATGTGCCCAAAAAGTGTTAATTCATTTGGCTCTCTGGCATAATTTTATGCATTCGTGTTTTGCTGTTGAATTAAAAGTTTTACGCCAGCCAGTCAGCAACTGGCAAAACAAATTATAAGAAAATGCCATAGATATCAGAGAAGGAGACTGGAGAAAACATATGAGACAGGCATAGTAGAAATACATTTCTGGCATCTTTCTCCGTCTCTCCTTTGCCCAACTCACTGACTTATCGAATTCTCTTTTAAAGATCTGCGGCAGAGGTCAGCAGGTAGCGGAGCGTGCTGCGTCGGCAGAGACGGACAGCGTCAAAGCTTCACCGAGAACCGTCGCAGCGGCAGAGAAACAAATTGTTATGTGGCTGGCTCGTTCACAATTGCTCGGCGCGCCGCAGCGGCAGAGAAGCAAGAAACGTTTTTGAGCTCTCTCACGTTTACCCTTCCTCTGTGCCTGCGGTAAATGCATAGAGAAGATCCGTTGCTCTGCTGTCGCAGCGGCAGAGAAGCAAGAAACGTTTTTGAGCAGCGAGCAAATGTGCGATAGAAGCTCGCTCTCTCACGTTTACCCTCCCTCTGTGCCTACGGTAAACGCATAGAGAAGATCCGTTGCTCTGCTGTCGCAGCGGCAGAAAAGCAAGAAACGTTTTTCGACTTCATTTCTGTTGTGTGTGCAGGCAAATGCACTAGCACCTGTGAGTAATTGCGTGTCCATCATTTACCGTCTCTCCTTTGCCCGTCGCTGCTTTGACTTCTCTCCTCCTCGCTGCCCGACTTACTTTTGTTTTGCTTGTTAATTTCTTTGGTGACTTTGAAAATTAAATCAAAAGTTCATCCAAATGTTCAATACTTCAGACAAAATGATCAATGAGCAAATCACTTAGCATAGCTCTGAAGAGGCAGAGACAGAGAGCGCGAGGGCAGGAGAGAAGCAAAATGTTTTTGCCAAGAGCTTTTGCTCAAACTTTGAGTGTGATTGATTGCAGGGGAACGTAATTGAAGTGCCCGCCAGAGCGGCAGCAGCACAAGCAGAAAGTTCTTCTCCACGAGACAGTGACAAAAAGGGAAAGTTTTCACTTTACTTTGCCGGAAGTCGAGAAGGGCCAGACAGAGCTCAGACAGAGGGCATGTCATTGTGCAGCTACAAGATGCATATCTTTGTACCTTCAGCTGGGCGGAAAATCATAAATAAAAGTGGGAGCCACTTTGGGGGTGAATGCAAATGCGAAATCAATCTCTGGTGTTGGCATTAAAAATGCAACAATGTGAGCAGCAGCAGCAGCAGCAATGAAAGCGAAATCCAGACGGAGACAAATCATAAAAAAAGAGGAAAAGAATTAAGCAAATTGCCAGACATCAAATTTATCGGAATGGAGCATCTGGGGTTGCTGTTGGCCTCCCACTTAGCTGCAACAAATCGTCAAATAAGTGGAAAATATTGCAGGCCACAAAGTCTGGCACTTTATCTTAAACTCCGCACAATGTGACTCCAAAGACAGTGGCAAAACCAATTCCGATGACCTCTTTAAATATTAATACGCGTGCCCTGATTGCACTGGGAATTGTGATTGACTTTTTAGAGGGCCGCCCCTGAAACCACCCTCCTGAGGCGTAAAGGCACTCCAGAACATGCACTTGCCCTTGCTGCTGCCACAGATCCGTGACATTTGAGCTCTAGCCACCCCGGATGGCAAGAGGCAACAGGAAGAGCGACTCGCCACTCAAGCAATGTCCCCAGAGGGGACAAGGAGTCTGTGCCCAAAGCTGTGCCTGAAAGCTGGCAAATGTTTATCCCATTGATTGGAGTGGGTTATCCCGACTCCATGCTCATTGCACATGCAATGGCCGTGGCTTACCTGATTTTTGTCAATTAAGCCAATGAAGTGTGCCAAATAGCAGCAGCAAAAAAGAACAGCAACAAACAGAACACGAGTCCAACCAATTAAATGCAAATTATTGAAATCAATGCCAAATTAGCTGCCAATAAATTGTGTCGCT